TGCACATCAGTTGAGATATACCCTCTATGTTTATTTGCCCAAGGAATAAGCAAACACCCTGTTCAATCCACATTCAAGAACTGCAGAGCTCATTTGTGAAGTTACACTGAAACTGATACTGGCTTGTAAAAATGTTTTATTTCTTGCTATTCTTAGAGGTGTCAAGCAACTGTCTATGACACTGTTTCCGTGGCTTCCTGGTGATCCCCAATGGAGAGTCCTTTGGGAGAATGCCAGTTACTGCTCTTCTTGCTATTTCCAGAGATTAAACTAAAAGTGGCTCTGTATATTTCTAACCCCTGAAAGTGATCTCACTAGATCAGAAAGCTAACCATTTTGTATTTAACTTTTAAGTTAATAATTTCTACCTACCCCCACTGCTTGTCATGTCTCCTATTTATTTTAGATGTGTTCAGAACTTAATATTCCTTCTCTGTAGTTTTTAGTCTTAATCTCTCCAACTATCTAGAGATGTCCATACATTTTTAGATTTTATATTAACACAAAATTCACTAAATAAAAATAATATATTCTGAAATGTCATTAGGAGGCAATGTGCTTGCCTACCACATATTAGAATGGAGCCCTCGGTTTGAATCCCAAACACTGGAAAAAGAAAACAATAATTTCTTTCTTTTTTTTAAAAATTTATTTATTATGTATACAACATTCCTTCCATGTATGCTTGCAGGCCAGAAGAGGGCACCAGATATCATTACAGATGGTTGTGAGCCACCATGTGGTTGCTGGGAATTGAACTCAGGATCTCTGGAAGAGCAGTCAGTGCTCTTAACCTCTGAGCCATCTCTCCAGTCCCTGAAAACGATAATTTCTAACTAGGATTACTAATGTTTTTTTTTCTTGCTGGTGTTTGTTGTATGTTTCTAAATATACCTCTGGCTGGCCTGTTCCTCACTATGTAATCCAGACTAGTCTCATCACACGGCAATGTTCCTGCCTCAGCTTCCTGAATGCTGGGCTAAAACGTGTGAGCCACCATGCCCAATTATAATTACCAATATTAAGGTCATAGAACTGTACTGCTTCAAACAAGAAAAGGCAGGTTAAACTGCTCTGGGTCACCTTGGAAAATTGAAGTTCATTGGGGGAAATAGGAGTTAGAAAACTTTTCTAAATGGGGTGGCAAAATAAATTTTGAGAGCTTACCTAAGAAATGATATTAACAGTTTTTGTGGGAAAATAAATGCACACTTTAAATGATAAGACAAAGGATAATAATATATTTGATTAAGAAAAAAAAGTGCCATCAATCTATCATATGCCTTCTACTACATAAGAAGGTATTCCAGAATTTATATAAATGGTTAGTTACTCTGAGACAGATTTATAATGAAATCTTGCTTCTTACTTTCAAATTCTGCATCTTCTGTAATATACAAAAAATATAATCTATATTTGTAAGTACAATATCAAGTGAAGAGACAGAGATTCTCCCTACATCTGAGACTGCATTATGGGAGCTATAATGATGTTCAACCAAAGGAAAAAAAAAACCCCTGAGACTTGAGAAAACAATAATGACCAGAGTATATCTAGGCAGCAGACTGTGATCCAGGAAACCCACCTTCTCTTTGAAGGTTCTTTTTCCACAAAGCTATGCCTTTTGAACAATAGCAACTATAATTTAGCAAATAGTTACTGTGTGCCAAGCTCTGACTTACACATAGAAGTGCAGTAATACATTTTTTTTTTCACTGCAACTTTCATTCTTTCGCTTTCAAACTTTTTCTGGTTTTTCAAACAAATTTGGTAAAATGACTTAAAAAATAAATTTAGGCTACAGTGATAGAAATTAGAAAAAAATGAAGAAAGAGGAATTCTGGATTATATCTGATATACCAGGTAAATGTCTGGTACTGGATACTTCCCTAATAGCCTGTGACATGAAGCTTAGAGGAAGGAGTCCTTGCTCAGCATGTATGAAGTCCTATATGCTCAATTCCCAAACACCACAAAAAATGGATAAAGCAGCCAAGCAACCTTAGGTTAAAGTCCAAGGATGAGTCAGTGGTAGAACAATTGCCTAGCATGCGGGAGGCCCTGAGCACAATCCTTTGCACCACAGAAACAAAAATCCCTAGGGTTCAGAGAGTCACAAGCAACCCCTCTCAGGTCAGAAAAATGAAAAGAGGCAAGAAGCCAGATAAAACTCATTATCTACATATAGGGAAATTCTGTGTATCTCTATCTACTACCACACCATGCTTACTTAGATAGTGCAAGTCCTTAAACAACAAAACCAATTACACAAATCTGCACAAAATTAAACTGTATATGAACCAGGGTAGATTAGTGGCAAAGACTAAAGAGAACCTCACACTTCTGAAGTCCTGCATATCTAACAAAATGACACTGAGGCTGAGATGCTACTGAATGTACTTCCTTTTGTAGATTACAAAAAGGTTGCCAGGGGAATCCCTATGCAATGCCCAAGACTCTGTCTTTTATTTTTTATCTTAGCAATGATCTGATAGATAGATAAAAACCAGGTGGACATATCTGGTGTTCAGATAAGAGGGAAGGGAAGCTAAGGAACCCTCAAAGGGAAAAGAAATCACTGTAGTGCTGCAGTAGCACGCACATATTTTGAACTCTGCACAGTTCCAAATTTAGGCAAAACATGTTTTCCACATTTCTGTGTTTTTTACCTTCTAGCCCATTTGAAATCTGAACATTTGGCTGAATTTTTTGTATTTTTGAATTTTTTGGAAGTATGATAGTCATTATTCAAATAATCATGAAACAAAATATGCAACACTTCATGTTTATTTTTGTACCCACTTCTTTTACAATTCACGGTGTAAAAAACTGAATATTCATTATAAGCAATCAAACAGAAAAAAATTTAATTTTCTTTATTTTGTTTTGGTTAGACAGAGTCTTGCTATAGAGCCTAGAATATAGAACAATTCTCCCACTTCAGTCCCACTGCTGCTGAGATTACAGGCATATATACCATGCTCAGTGCTATATAAGAACATATACACATGTGTGTATTTTTGGAACATGGTTTCACTATATAATCCTGGTTGGCCTGGAACTCCCTATGGAGACCAAGCTGGCCTCCAATTCCTAGATCTGACTGTTTCTGATTCCAAGTTTAGATTAAAGGTATGTACCAAAGGAGCTAGAAAAATATAAGTAAGTTTGGCTTACAAAATTTCCTAATTGTTCTCAAAAGTTCATCAAAACACGGTAGTTTTTCCTTTCCTGAACATAAAACAATGCAGAGAACTATCTCAAAGTAGTGAATGCTGTTGTAATTTGTCCTTACAAAAATGTAAGGACAAAAGGGTCCGCAAAGCCTTTCACCAGGCTCCTTTGTCCATTTTGCTCATTTGTTTAAAAATGAAGTAACTATGAAACATGAACAATTATCTTATTGCTTATATCTAATGTTATGTCAAGAATAAATATGGCAGACTTTTTACTTACTAATCTTTTTAAAAGCAATGTGGGGTTCTACTAATATTAATATGCAATTTAACTTTTATTACTTTCATAGAATAATAGTAATAAATTACAAGAAATCACACTGCTCCATGTTTTAGCAGTTCTGCCTACTAAGAATGATTTCTGTTAGATTATACTACCTACCTACTATTAAAATGTAAATCATACAACTATTTTTAGCTACTGTTGAAATTCCTGTCTTTGGGAATAATGATTTGAGGCATTGTTCATTTTGTTTATCAAGCAGCTATTCAGCCTCTAGTGGATCCAAGTGCTTATGCAAGCAAAAGCTTTTAAGATGCTTGTTGCAGCAATTCAGCTTTCCAGGTAGGCTGCAGGTTCAGAGCACAGCTGCCCTATGCTTCTCAAAACTCAGATTCATCTGGAATTTAGTTTCAGAGATTTCAATTCAACTTTTCAAGGAGGGTGGCAGAGAAGAAATGCAAACAACCAAAATGATTTTTCTACTTTACCCTTCACAAGAAATAAAAAGCTCAGGGCCATGCTGCCCCTTCTAGATTGCTACTTGTTAAGCAGGATATTCCATTCAGTCTAAACTGGGATGAGCCATGACTCATCTGGCAGCACCTGCGCCCATGTGTTAAGTATTGCCCAATGAAAGCCCAACACCCATTTACACAACAAAGAATGTACCCTTCAAGGCACAGGGCCTCAATATAACAGCATCACTGTCCATTTATTCTACATATAGAGAAAAAGCCTTTCCCTTCTTCTCACCACAGGTTTTTAAACTGTGGGTGGATTTATAATGTACGTTCATCTACAAATACTTCTACTGCTTCAAAGAATAAGTATATTAACAGCACAAACACTCCTACAGTATTAGGTTACTATAGCCATTAATGATTGTTTTGCCAACCACTCCCAACCTCCTGCATCAAAGCTCTTTATTCTCAAAGGATACATTTTTGAGCATGGAAGGATCAACGAACTAGTTACGTGAAAGCTTTCCTGATGCTAGACTGAAGTTGGGAAAGGCTTAATGACGGCTTTAAAATCCACAAGGGCTTCACAATGAACATCTGACTTGGTGATTTATGCATATTAATAACCTCAGTCCTACTGAGGCAAGCTGAGTCAAACATGTCCTACGAATCTTAATGTCTTTAGCTCCATTGGGATTATTACAAATGTAAATTTCTAAGATTCTCAGCTATTAATCTCTGTCTGTCCTCCTGTTCAGCAACATAATGACTAATTAAACATCAAAAGACCTGCACAGGAGATCTTTTTTGACAGCTACAGGCCTAGTCTTCTTCCCAAGAGGGGAATTCAAATGACAGGGACAGGGAGTGACAGCATAAGAGAAAGCTACAAATCATTGCACAGAAAACGAAAAGACTAACATTAAGTGTGGATTTATCTCAATCAATGATTTTGTTAAGCAATGAACAGTTACTATGTAAAGTATGCCCACTGGCATCAATTGAATCCATCTTTGTAGCAAGTAAATACTGAATATTTGACATCAATTTATTTAACATAAAAAAAAAAGAAGTACTTACAGAAGAAGGCAGGCCAGGAGGCACCTTTCTTACTTTCTTTGCTTGCAAAGGATCTGCACATGGAAAACAAAATGTTTCATTAGCATTTATATTATGGAGAGAAAAAAAGACTTCAAATGAATAAGAAACAGGTACCATACAGTCATCCATCGTGTTTTGCCATGCCTCACTTTCTGCTGCATACCCATTATGATTTCTATTTTTTCTAATATTGCATGGTAAGAAGGGGAATCCAAGAATGGCAGCACTGGTTCTTCTAGTATATGGAAAGGTACAGTAAAACAAGAAAACTCACACGTATGTCAGTCCACTGGAAATGAACTCTATGTAACAGGTCTTCCTAACAGTACACTTCCCTAACAAAGACACAGACAGCATCATATCAAGAATTGGGAAGAGCCAGGCAGTGGTGGCACACGTCTTTAATCCCAGCACATGGGAGGCAGAGGCAGATGGAGCTCTGTGAGTTCGAGACCAATCTGGTGTACAGAGCAAGTAACAGGACAGGCTCTAAAGCTACAGAGAAACCCTATCTGGAAAAACCAAAAGAATTGGGGAAGAGGGGGAGGAAGAGAGGGAGAGAGGGAGGGAGGGAGGGAGGAAAGGAGGGAGGGAGAGAGAGAGAGAGAGAGAGAAAGAGAGAATGAGGCTGAAAGGCACATTTTAAAAACTTAATATCACATAGCAAATACTACAGTACAACTTATTTTGCAGAAAATTTGAAATAAAATTGAAGGAATGAATGAATGAAAAACTAAGAACATAATAACATCAAGGCATGTTCCACATGCTATGAAATACAGGCAATATATACATCTAGTATGATGAGCATTTACTTTGGTAATGTGTGAGTAAGACTGAAACTTCAGCACTACAGTATAATTTGGACTTTAATTAAAAGTTTGCAAACACTTTTAAGGAAATGGATACAGAAAGTTTCTCTCTTATTTTAAATTATGCACATTTGTATGTGTGTTTGTGTATGTGTGTGCCATGAAGCAATCCTCCTTAACACTATAAAGTCACTCGAATTGGTTTAATAAAACGTTGATTGGCCAATAGCTAGGCAAGAAGTATAGGTGGGGTAATCAAACTAAGAACGCTGGAAAGGAGAAAGGCAGAGAGAGGAGACACCAGTCAGGTGCAGAGGGAGAAGATGAACCTGCCATGCTAATAAAGGTACCACTCCATGGCAGAGCATAAATAAGGAATATGGGCTAACTTAAAAATGTAAGACCTAGCTAGTAACAAGTCTCAGCTATCAACCAAATATTTATAAGTAACATTAAACCTCTGAGTAAACTATTTGGGAAGCGGCCACCAGATATTTAGGAGTAGGCGGGCAGGAGAGAAACGTCTGTCTACATGTGTGTGTGTATCTGTGTGTGTATGTGCGCACATATATGTGAGTATAGGTGAATGTTTAAGTACAGGTACCCTTGGAGTCCAAGTCCAGGACTGGACTTTCTGGAGCTGTAATTCCAAACAGAGAGTTACAAGCTGCTGTATGGGTGTGGGACTAAACTTGCAGTAATACTCATGTACAAAATTTATAACTTTTCCATCGTATTTTTTGAAAAATAATATGCATAGCTTTCAAATCACATGCAAATAACGATTAAATTCAGGATTTTCAGAGGGATTTGTTATAAGGAAGACTGATGTGAAAAAAACTCTATATTTTCTTAAAACTGTAAAAATGAGAAATAAGAAAAGCATTTTCCTAGGCTGTAAATGATACTACACAATAAAATATGAGATTTTATAAAGATCGAAACTTATTTAAATTTCGTCAGTAGATTCTCTACAGGTAATATCACAGAAGGCTGTAAAGCTAAGAAAGCAACTTTATAAGTATCATGTGGAAAATATTACACAATAAAAGGGTCAAAAAGCACTCATCAGCATGGATATCCCTTCCCCAAGAGGTAGTCCACATTTCCTCCAAACATAAATACCAAAGATAAACAACATCTGGCATATTCTGTAAGACTTACAGCAAAACCTTTTTTCTTAGTGAAATGTTTCAGCAGTCTAATTACTTACAACTTATTCCTCTAGCAAAAGCTACACTTTATACAAATCACTCAAGGAAATGGCTCCTATGGCTTGTAGTTATCAGAATAAAGATATTTCTTTTGTATCTCATTATTGGCAATATACTGTACTATCACCAGTTTGGGATTCACAGTCTAGTTTGGGGAAGCTGTAAACTGTGATGGAGAGTAAGCTGGCTATATTCAGTACAGCAGCCATATGAACCTGGGAAGGTTACTTTAACCTCTTTATGCTTCATCTTCTTTAGATGCATAAAGTGGTGGGCCCCCATCTCTCCTGTGAGTTTCATGTTCTGTGATAATACGTGAAATATGCTTATTCCATTGCCTAACATTTGTGACACTTCAATGTTTTACCTCTATGTCTGTGGACCACATGTATACTGTGCCCATGGAGGCCAGAAGAGAATGTTAGATCCCCTGGGACTGGAGCTAGACAGTTGTGAGCCATCCCACGGGTGCTGGAAATGGACCTAGGTCATCTAGAAGAACCACCAGGGCTCTAAACTGCTGAATCATTGCTCTTGTACCACACTTAGTAACTTTCAGCCCTTATGTAGATTAAAACAATTATAAATTAGATAGTTACTGCTCTCCAAAATAGTTTCTTAAAGTACCTAAATAGTTTCAGAAAACACTAATATTGTAGCTCTCTACAGTTCTTCTAAGTGCTAACATTTTACCAGACAATGCAATGCCAAGGAAAGGTTAAGATTGGGAATAGCAACGGGCGGCATAATAATAACCTACTAGTTGGTATCCAAACAGGAAATGGATAGAATTCCTCCAAGTATTAAGAGTAACACCGTATGTTGCATTTCATTTGGTCTCCTCATTTATACTCTAATGTTAACATTACAACCTCAGAGTTTTGAAAAGATGCACGAGATAAACAACAGCAAGTATAACATAATCGAAAAGAAATGAAATTTGAATCCATGGAAAGCCTGAATATTATGCCTAAATTTTAATGGAACACAACCCTATTCTCTTCTAGTTACTCAGTGGTTTTCTTTTGGTAGCAGCACACTGGCAGGGATTACTGGTTGCTACACTGTCTGCATGGAGTCTTTGAAGAAGACACTCATATAGACTAACTCAATACAGACTCAATTGAGGCCTCTACTGGGTTAACTCATCAGGTAGACAAGCAGAGCATAAACGGACAACATTTTCTAAGTTGTCATTTCTTTACTAACAAAAAGAATACTGGTCTAAACCATCAGGGCTGACTCTAATAGCACCCATACATATTACATGACCATGTTCACATGAAATAAAGATATCAGAATTCTCTTCTGAATGTAGCAATCCATCACTGTATCCTTTCTATGTACCTCATTCATACTTTAGACCTAAAGATTAGAAATAGTTCATCAAAATACATGGTTAGATAGGAGGTTGATATATTAGCTAGAGGCAGTCAACAAATATTTGTGTAATCAGGAACTATAACACATTTTATCTGGTTTAGATTTCTTTAGCAGCTGGCCTATTTTATTATAAACATGTTTTACAACTTTAAATTTCTTATATTAAATAAACCCACAAAATTTTTCACTTTAAACACTAATTAGATAGAAAGAATATCCAGCAGCAGAAAAAAGCCCGGTAAGCCACCACCTTGTGGTGCTACACACATTAATAGAAATGGGTTAATCAAGATGTGAGAATCAGCCAATAAGAGGCTAGAACTAATGGGCAAAGCAGTGTTTAAAAGAATATAGTTTCTGTGTAATTATTTTGGGTAAAGCTAGCCGGTGGCCGGGAGCTGGGCAGCGGGCCTCACTGTGCTCATATTGATGAAAATTACCAACCAAAACTACCTATAGTTAGTTAAACCTTGAATATAAAGTGGAAGTTTTCTTTACAACAGTGGGAACTCTTGACAACTCCATTTATTGTGTATCTAATGCATACAAGATGAGTATCCCTTATCTGAAATGCTGTGGCCAGATACGTTTTAGTCTTCAGATCTGGACTATCTGTATAAACATAATGCAGTATCCTGGAGACAGAACCAACACATAAAGATTAAGTTCATTTATGTTTCATATATATGTAGTCCAAGGGTAATTTCATACATACTTTAGTGTGCTTTATATGGCTGTGACCCATATCAACAAGTCAGGTATAAAATTTTCTATGGTCAGTATTCTGACATTTCTAATGTCAATATTCAATAGGTTTCACATTTTAGAGCACTTTGGATTTTAGATTAGGAATACTCAGTCTGTATATTATTATTTTTTTTTTTTTTTTAAAAACAGCCAGGCACTTGCTCTTTTTTTTTTTTAAAGATTTATTTATTATGTATACAACATTCTGCCTCCATGTATGCCCGCATGCCAGAAGAGGGAGCCAAATTTCATTACAGATGGTTGTGAGCCACCATATGGTTGCTGGGAATTGAACTCAGGACCTTTGGAAGAGCAGCCAGTGCTCTTAACCGCTGAGCCATCTCTCCAGCCCCTCTGTATATTATTTATATGTATATATACCTTGATATACAAATGATGGCCAAGAAAGTAAATTTCTTCTCATTAAAAGCACAGTCACAAGTAGAGACTAGGGAAGTGGGACATGTGAGCGGACAAGTCAAACACTCACCTAGAGCTACAGAGTCATGGAGCGGTCTTCTCCTAGAACTTGTGGCAGAGAATGAGTAGTACGGTGTTGCAGGTTTTCCTGAAGAAGACAGCTGTGCTGGGCTCCCAAGTCCTAGATCTTGTCTCAGGAGACTAGACTATAAAACAAGGCCAAGGAAACAAGTCATCTTGCTACTACAGACCAAGCACATCACTTTTGAATTACTGACAGTAACTTTATCAATGCCTTAAAATTTAGAAGTAATCAATAATTACTTTTAAAATTCAATTAGGTCACTAGTTTTAAACTCCATCCTTTTTCTTTACCCTTCTCTTGCCTGCCTTTTGTTGTTTTTTATTTCGTTTTGCAGCATTTTCTCTGTGTATCCTTGGCTTTCCTCAAACTCAGAGATCCACTTGCCTGTCTCCCAAGTGCTGAGATTAAAGGTGTATGCCACTATACCCAGATTCTTTGTCTACTTTTTAGTAATTGTGTAGACTCATTAATTTTGGTGACTTTGTGATTGGATCCTTTAATTACAGGAATACTTTTGAAAGCAGTCACCTGGATTTTGCTTTCATGATCACACGGGCTGCTGACTATGTTTTCTTCCCTTTTCTTTTTGGATATTCTTACCATCTGAAGAGTGCCCATATTTATAAGACTAATCCCTCTGACATTCTTCATTTCCTTCCTCCTTATCCCTGACATGGTCCTCTAGACTCTCTTTAGTTTCTTATAAATGGCAAAGAGCACAATGCCCCAGATGCTTTAGATGATATACCACACACCATGTGAACTGTAGGTTGAAAGTAGTCCAGTTTCATGGCTCTTCACTCTGCTTCATGTGCTGGTTTGCCCCCTTACAACAGACTTGTTCAGTTTATGCTTCTTGGACTCAAGCACAAGACCCAAGATCTGTCACATGTATCAGATTCCCTGATAAAACTGTATCTTGTTCTATTTGACCCATATTAACTATCCATACCTTCCTGCTCTCTTTAGATTTGGAGTCTGTTAACATAGGCTAGGTTTCCTAATGTCTAGGTATCCAAAATGTGAGTGAAAAATCCATCAAGAGGATAAAAGTTAGGGATAAAACATGGGTCTATCACTGAAAATTTAGAGATTCAACAGTTCTAACCTAAATCACTGATTTAGTGATCTCATCACAAACAAAATAAGGTTATAGTTGGCAGAATTTGGTCTGAGATTTCTGGCAGGTGAAATAAAAAAGTATCATACCAATGTGAGACAAGAAAGAGAAAATGACTTTACTGGGGAAGGGTGGTGAAAAGGGACCTCAGAGGATGCTTTCAGGCATGAAAACATGATTCCTCCAGCTTACTGCTACTCTCCCGCTATATACTTAATACCCTTACTGTCATCTTCATGTTCTTAGTACTGAGCATTATGACATACTAAAAGAACAAACTCTACTCAGAGTGAGCAGAGCCTGGGAAGAGCAGCCATTGTATTCTAGCCACTGCCCCCATTCTAATAGTCAAGAAAACTAAGTTTCACGACTTGTCTGAAGGAAGTTCCACAGCCCTACAGCAGTCATTCCTCTCGACTGCCCACATATACTAAGCAGTAACTCCTTATTTTACTTTCCTTAGCCTATGGCAACCACTACTCTGCCTTCTGCTTCTGTGGATCTACCTATTCTGGCTATTCCATGTAAATATAACCTTCTACACATGACTTACTTTACTTAGTACGACAGTTTTGAAGTTCATTCATCTTGTCTGTGTTGCGGGGAGAGGGGTAAGTGTTGGTGCTAGTGGAGTCCAGAAGAGGGTACTGAATCCCCTGCAGCTGGAGTTAAAGGTAGTCATGAGCTACCTGATTTGGGTGCCAGGAACCAAACCTGGGTCTCTGAAAGAGCAGAATGTGCACTTAACCACTGAGCCATCTCTAAAAGTGTGGAGCTCTTAACTCTAATAGTTTTATGGTGAATCCTGCAAGCATTTCTAGAGAAAAGGACAAATTATCTGCAAATGAGGGTAGTTTTACTTCTTTAAACTCTCCTAGAATTTCCAATACATTGCTGAATGTAAGAGTTCGTGAAAATAGCCTTGTTTTAGGGAAATGCTTTCAATATTAATTTTGAATATGTGATTGGTTGTTTTTCATAAAAAAAAAATACCTTTCCCAAGTTGAAGAAGTTCCTTCCTATTGTTAGCTTTTCTTTTCTTCTTTTTTCTTTTTTTTGACACAGGGTTTCTCTGTAACTTTAGAGTCTGTCCTGGAACTAGCTCTGTAGACCAGGATGGCCTCGAACTCACAAAGAGCCTCCTGCCTCTGCCTCCCGAGAGCTTGTGTTTTTCTTAAGATTTATGCGTTTATATATATGTGAGCTCATACATGCACATAAATGCACCAGATCCCCTGAAGACAGAGTTATAAGCAGTTGTGAGCTACTTGGTATGAGTTCTAGGAACTGGATTAAGGTCCTGAAGAAGAACAGCAAATGTTTTTAACCACTGAGCCTTCTCTCTAGCTCCCTATTCTTAAATGGTCGTATCATGATACTAGTTTTTCATTTGTTTTTGTGTGGGCATGGAACAGTCTCACAATGCAGTCCCACCTGGTCTGAAACTTGCTATATAGGTCAAGATGCCTGTCTCAGCTTTCTAAGTGCAGGGATTAAAGGTCTGTGCTCTACATGGCAGAGGTACTAGTTTTTTGGTTTGGTTTTTTTTTTTTTTTTTTTTTTTGGGTGCACACTCCCACTCCTTTGACTTGATTTTTGACACTTTGCTCCCCTCTTCATGTTATTTATTACTATGGTAAGTTATATTGATCAATTTTCCTATGTTAAGCCATTTTGCATTTTTTGGACATACTTACTTGGTCATAGTGTCTAAACTTTATACTGCTGTCTTCAGTGTGTTAGCATTCTATGGATAAATTTTGTATTGATATTTGAAATGGATAATGGTCTTCAGGTTCATTTTCCTTGTGGTATCTGTGGCTTTCGTATTAGTACAAAGCTGCCCCTAAAGAAGGGAGGGAGTGTTTCAAAAGCAGTAGCCTTGTTTCTTCTTTGAGGGATTCTACACTTTACTGGAAAAGCCATTTGGCTCTGGACCTTCCTAAACTGCAAAGACTTCTATTACTGATTCTCGTTCTCCCTATTTAAGTCTGAGTCCATCTTGACAGTATGTTTCTAGGAATTTGTTCATTTCATCTAAAATATGTACCAGCATGTAACTCCTTGTGGTATTTACCTCTTTTTATTTTTATGAAGTCAGTAGCAATGTGACCCTTTTGCTTCTGACTTAAGTTATTATTTACTAATCCAGATATGTTTTCCAATTTTGTTGATCTTTTCAAGGAACCAACTTTTAATATTTTTAAAAATAAGGTATTGCCCTTTTATCCCAGCACTCGGGAGGCAGAGGCAGGCGGATCTCTGTGAGTTTGAGACCAGCCTGGTCTACAGAGCTAGTTCCAGGACAGGCTCCAAAGCCACAGAGAAACCCTGTCTCGAAAAAAAACCAAAAAAAAAAAAATAAGGTATTGCATATAACCGATGCTGGTCTAGAACTTACTATATAGACTAGGCAGGACACAAATCTGCAATTCTGCTCAGCCTCCCAAATGCTGATCACCCGATCTTACTAAGTACCAAGTTTTTTACTTTGTTGTCTTAGTCTGTTGTGTTTATATCTGCTCTTATCTTTACATCCCACCCCCATCCCCGCCTTCCAGTTTAGTCTGTTTTTCTTTCTAGCTTCTTTTTAATTAAGTTATATTATGTGTATGGGTATTTGGCCTGCATGTATCTTTGTGTACCACAAGTGTGCCTTGTACCTAGGGAGGCCAGCAGAGAACAGCAGATGCCCTGGGACTAAAGCTACAGTGGTTGTGAGACACTGAGTACTGGGACTCAAACGAGGGTTCTTCTGCAAGACCAACCGGTACTGTTAACCACTGAACTATATTCCAGGCTCCTTTCTCTTTTCTAGTTTATAAAATTGCAAACTGAGGGTTCTTATTTCAGAGTTTGCTTCTGCACTTTTCGACATTTGATATTTCTATGTGCCAAAGGTAGCCTTGGGCTTGTCACTATTCTGCCTCGGACCCTAGGAGGAATGCACAGCTTTGCATGCAGCTGTGCAAGGCTAGCTACTTCCTTTCTGTGCAACTGCTTCTGCTGTGAATGTCCCTCTGTTATCACCTTTGCTTTATCTCCTATATTTGCAAAGCTGTCTTCAGGTATGTTAACTTCTTTATAGCTCATGTGACAATGCTACAAACACACATGAAACAAAGTACTATATCATCTAAAAGCTGTCTGTACAGCCTTCAGAAATAGTTTTAAAACACAGTGTCGCCAGGTGGTGGCGGCAGCGCACATATTTAATCCCAGCACTTGGGGGGAGGCCTTTAAAGGCAGGTGAGTCTCTGTGAGTTCAAAGACAGCCTGGTCTACAGAGCAAGTTTCAGGACAGCCAGGGCTATTACACAGAAAAACCCTGTGTCAAAAACAAAAAAATAAAACCAAATTAAATCAAAAGAATATAGATTCCTCAAAGAGCAAATTCTATTTCAGACAGAACATATATATATATATATACTGTAGTAGCCAAGTGAAAGTAATTTTAGTTACTAAATATGACATGTGAATAAAGACTATAGACAATCAATGCAACTATTTAGCATCAATTATATAAATTCCAACAGACAACATTTAACAAACTAGGAGAGAAAGTGGTGACTGGACACAAAAGTACAAAAGTAGTGGTGGTGCACCCTTTCAATCCCAGCACTTAGGAGGCAGAGGCCAGGCGGATCTCTGTGAGTTCGAGGCCAAGCTGATCTACAAGAGCTAGTTCCAGGATAGTCACGGCTGTTATACAGAGAAACTCTGTCTAAAACAAAACAAAACAAAATCAAAAAGTTCCAAAAGTAATGATGAAAAGACAGAAAACGAGCAATTTAAATGTAAACATCACACATGTATTTACTTCCTATTCACACAACAAACCCTTAGCTATGGATCTTCCAATGATGCTCTGTTTGAGAACAGGGACCTAGAAGTCATTGTCTCCCACAGACGTTATACATAAATTTTAGTCACTACATCTGTTTTGTTTTTTATTTTCCCTTTGACAAGCAAATGCAGCATTGTCTAAATGGCAAATAGTG